GTCCTTTGTGTAGTATTTGTGTATATGATGACTGGAGAGAGCTAGGAATTATGCTTTTATGTCCTTTCGTAACTATTCCATTGTCTACCTAGAGTTCATCTCTGAATGTAAAATAACTTCGTATTTCTGGAGGGCACGACTTTGGAGTTTTTGGCCATCCCTAATTTATTGTGTTAATCAACATCTGTAGAGTGCGATCATCTTTCGTTGCATTTTGCAGCTCTTCTTGTTTAGTATCAGAGATGTGTCATACAGATAATCATCATCACTAGTATCTGTAGTAGGTGCTCGTGATAAGGTGTCTGCCAAATATAGCTCAGCACCTTTCTTGTATACCAACTCAAAGTGGTATCTTTTTAACTGCATTAGTAATTTCTGCAGACGAGCTGGTGCCTTGTGAAGTGGCTTCTTCACAATGGTTATAAGTGGTTGATGGTCTGTTGTATGGTTATTTGTTTCCCATATATGTACTGATGGAATTTCTTTGTTGCAAACACTATGCTTACCAGCCCTTTTTCTATTTGTGCATAGCGCTGTCGGTTTCTGTCATTGTTCGTGAGACAAATGCTATTGGTTTACTATTTTGGAGGCATGCACAGTCTAAACCATACTGGGATGCATCGCATGTAAGGGTTAGGTGTTTGGTCACATCGTAATATGCAAGGACTGGTGGGCTTGTTATCATACTTTTAAGCTTCTCAAAAGATTCCTGCTGATGTGGTTGCCAACACCATTGCGTGTCTTTTTGTAACAACTGCCTTAAGGATGCTGCTACTCCACTAAAGTTCTCTATGAATTTCGAAAAATAGTTTGCCATACCAAGAAAAGGGCTTAAAGCTTGTGTATCCTTTGGAGCTGGCATCTCGCATATAGCCTTTATCTTCTCAGGAACAGGTTTTATACCATTGTCGGTTAGAAGGTGTCCAACATAGGAAACCTGACTCTGTCGAAACTTGCATTTGTTCTTATTTAAGCGCAGTCCAACCTTCTGAATTCTCTGTAGCACCTCCTTTAAATTCTTGTCATGCTCGTCTAGATCTTTACCAGTGACTAGCAAGTCATCCACAATTATCTCACAAGGATATCCTTCAAAGAGTATTTCCATTATGCGTTGAAATACTTCTGATCCACTATTGACACCATATGGCATTCTAAGATACCTGTATCGGCCAAGGGGAGTGTTGAACGTAGTCAACTTTGAAGATTCTTCATCTAATGGCACCTGCCAAAAAGAATTTTTAGCATCTAAGGCTGTGAATACTGTGGCATTGGCTAAATTTCTAGTTATTTCCTCAACAGTTTTCATTGGGTGATGGGGTCTCTTCAGAGCACCATTTAAATCCCTTGGATCTATGCACAATCTAATTTCTTCAGTGGTCTTTTTTCTTGTTGCTACCATTGATGACACCCATGTTGTTGCATCTTCTACAGGAGTGATGACACCAATTCTTTAATTACTTTGTCCTTCATGGGCTTTGGAACTTTCCTTGGTGGTCTTACCACTGGCGGTAATGAAGGGTCTACAGACATCTTATATTTCTTCGGTAACTCGCCCAAATCGTCATCAAAAACATCCGAAAACTCTGTTAGTTCTGGAATATCTTGTGTTACGACATGTACCATGTTATAATTAACGTATAGCAACTCAAGTTTTAGAGAATCAGCTAATCCAATTATGGGAGTGTAATCACCATCAACAACATAGAATTTCAGTTGGTGTTGTTTTCCGGCTGAATCTATCATTAATCTTGCCATTCCCAAAGTATTTATGGTATTTCCACTATATGCTACCAGATTTGGCTTTTCTGATTGGTCTATGTCATCGGCAGCTTTAATATTTTGCAGAGTATTAGTGGTATTACATTACACTTGGCTCCAGTGTCTATCTTTAATGTGAGAGGATGATTGTTGACCATTACAGTTGTTTTTATTACATTTTTACTGTCAACTGTATCAATGTTTATGCCTTCTACAACAAAGAATTCTTCATTTTGTGCTTCTTCTTCTCTTGCGATATCATGCACTGTCTGCTTATTGGGCTTTTTTTGTATCTTTGTTTACCTTGGGTTTTCTTGTAAGTATGCTTGTGCTGTGGACTAGTACCCCTAGGTTACCTACACTGTGTTCCAAAATGTCCTAAAATTCCACATCTGCTGCACTCTTTGTTATATGCAGGACAATTATATCGTGGATGAGATGTCCCACACCTTCCACAAACTTTACTGTGCTGCGATTCGGTTTTTTCAAACTTTAGTGCGTCGATTGTCTGTGACAATTGTTTGTTTGCATTTTCTGTAGTTTCATGAACCAGACATATCTGAATGGCTTTATCCAAAGTTAATTCACTCTGAGATAATAACGTTTTTCTCACTACTTCTTTATCAACACCACATACGATCCTATCTCTTATTAGCTCGTCAGTTATCGGACCAAATTCACAACTTTTAGCTAGGGTTTGCACGTTAGCTAAATATGCTTGGACAGGTTCATCTGGTAATTTATAAAGAGTGTTGAATTTATGTCTTCCTAGTATAACATTCTTTCGTGGTAAGCATAAGTCACAACATTTTTTCTTTAGGTCTGCCAGTTTTTCAGGGGACTCAGCTGGAGTAACGTTGCCGTCAGCATCGGTAATTGCAGGTTTGTAGTTAAAACTTTATCTGATTTATTACCATGGGCGGCTTCTATATATATACATCGAAATCGTTCGAAGTTCGAAACGTCTCCAGTTTTCAGCTACGTTTCCTTGAAAGGAAATCGGATCCGGTCTACGTAACCCATAGTCGGCCATGTTTCGTTGCTATAGATGGGCCTAGCTGTACCCAAGCAGCAATAATGTATACTATCGTACTTTACTGTACAAATATACCTTCAATATGTGAATCCACTTGAAGTTGATTATTTCCCTCAACTTCTGACACCATGTAAGTTAATGACCAGCCAGAGGCACTTCGTGGATTACTAGGATTGTTTATTGAGGTACTGACCGACATACATGTATGAGATGGGTAACACACAGAGAGGGCGTGCTTCAAATTTATACAATGTTCTACACCCTATACTAAAGTTACATCACA